ATGCATATGTTGGAGAAAATGGCAATCCTTTAATTCTTTCCTATGGCTGGTCTTAAGGTCTAAACTCTAGGATATGTCTTCTCTTTACATTAATTTAAAAAAAGTATGAACATGGAATGACACAGGCTTCATATACAACACATCAAATGTAACCTTTTGAAAAATAAAAGGGAGAACAACAATTGTAGACCGGTCACCCAGAAGCTGTGGAAGCAGGGTGACTTAGACTTAATGATGATCAGACCCCCTGGCCCTATGTCAAGTACAGGGGATTCAGTTTTCTCAAATAGATATTTCATAATGCTGGACAAATCACAGTACTGTAAATGGTGTTACCTCCCAGCAGAGCTGCTGAAATACTTGACAGCATTTTCCCTAAAAGTCACAAATTATTTTGCCGTGTTCACTTTTGGCACACTTGTGAAATCTTCCTCATGGAGACCCCTGTTAGATTCCAGATGGTTAGTAAATCCCCCCCCCCCCACACACAAAAATCAAGCTTCACAGCGGCCTCACTATATTTGAGACAAGATAAGTGCACACAAACCACATCCTTAAAAAATACCATAAATTAATTAGAGGAAAAAACACTGAACATTATAAAACAAGCAAGGAAAAAAAGTGCAAGTTAACCTTCATGGTACAACACATCCTTTAATAGTTAAAAATCTTTTTTTGTTTGTTTGACGTCAATACACATTTTAGGCAGATCTGTAGATAGGATGGATATGTCACATGCCTTGGGAGTGGGGATGAGATCAAGGCTGCTTCCCTGAGTTATGTTAGAGTCAACGGTTTGACATTGAAGCCTTCTACATATGGGTTATAGGCCTCAACACACTATTCTGTAGCTAGTCACTAAGTGGCACAAAGTAGGGTGGCTTGTGCTTTGGATGATTACTGCGAATGCTTTTTGGTTGATGGTGGATGCCCCAGAGTTAATACCTAGTGGATAGGTATTTTTTTGAAGGCTGAGCGGTAGATTTACCGCAAGTAACCAACAGCTCGAGAGAGAAGCTCTAGGCAACAGATATCCCTGGAGAAGTTTTCATTTTGAGGAATAAAAAAGTAACATTCTATCAAACACACTGTAAAAAAAGTACGTATTGTTTTGCATTTTATTTGTACAACAGGTTTATGAAGTTTACCTCACTTGAGTTGAATAAACAGAAATTCATCACCGGCCAAAACATTTGGCTGATTAAACACATTTAACCAAATCCACAGAAGCGTTAGCACTCGTGTTCTTTGTAAAACATTTATTTTTGACGTTGCAGTTCTGTACAAACCAATCTGTTGTACACACGTTTACCAAAATGTTTAAGTTGAGAAAGTTAGCAGTTATTTCAGCCCTCATGGTTTTCCTATCAGCCAGAGACTAGTAAGCATGAACACTTCTAAACTTATTATTTACAAAAATGTTACTCGACTACAGTATATCTACGCCCTATGTATCAAGGGAGGGAAATCTTGTAAAGTCAAGGCTCACTTGAAACCACAAGGATGCTGGCTGATATGTATGACTCAAAGTAGTTTATTCTATGGCAGTGAGAAGTTTTCTGTTTTGAGGTATATTTTTCTTGTAGGTGTAGTGACAGCTTCTAGACGGATTCAACTTGCCTTCCAATTAGCAGGTTAGCGTTTTTCGTCATGAATATTGTTCTGGAGGCAGCTCTGCAGAATGGTCACTAGCTAGCACAGCCACAAAATCTGATTTTAAACCTAACCCTAACCACACTGCTAACCCTAATCCTAACCCTAAATTATGACCAAAAAGCAAATGGTAGTTTTCATGAATTTTTACAATATAGCCAATTTTGACTTTGCAGCTGGCCTATCTAAGGGGAAATCGCTCAGTTCTGCCTCCAGGACAACCCTCATGACAATAAACGTCAACCTGCTCTCTAGTATGTAGTTCCACCATGCAATTCATCGGTTTATCTTAAAGTGCTTTATTTCAAATGAAGAAAAAGAGAGTCGCCGTTTGACTATTGTTCTTGTAAAAACCTAATAAAAACTAGACACTAAAAACATGAAATTGAAAACCGAGTGACAGTAGCGCTCGATTTCAGAGTCTCAGGGTCAATTATGCTTGACCTACAGTTGAAGTCGGAAGTTTACATACACTTAGGTTGGAGTCATTAAAACTCGTTTTTTCAACCACTCCACACATTTTTTGTTAACAAACTATAGTTTTGGCAAGTTGGTTAGGACATCTACTTTGTGCATGACACAAGTCATTTTTCCAACAATTGTTTACAGACAGATTATTTCACTTACAATTCACTGTATCACAATTCCAGTGGGTCAGAAGTGTACATACACTAAGTTGACTGTGCCTTTAAATAGCTTGGAATATTCCAGAAAATGATGTCATGGCTTTAGAAGCTTCTGATAGGCTAATTGACATCACTTGAGTAAATTGGAGTTGTACCTGTTGATGTATTTCAAGGCCTACCTTCAAACTCAGTGCCTCTTTTCTTGACTTCATGGGAAAATTAAAAGAAATCAGCCAAGACCTCAGATTTTTTTTTTTAGACCTCCACAAGTCTGGTTCATCCTTGGGAGCAATTTCCAAACGCCTGAAGGTACCATGTTCATCTGTACAAACAATAGTATGCAAGTATAAACACCATGGGACCACGCAGCTGTCATACCGATCAGGAAGGAGACGCGTTCTGTCTCCTAGAGATGAATGTACTTTGGTGTGAAAAGTGCAAATCAATCCCACAACAACAGCAAAGGACCTTGTGAAGATGCTGGACGAAACAGGTACAAAAGTATCTATATCCACAGTAAAACAAGTCCTATATCGACATAACCTGAAAGGCAGCTCAGCAAGGAAGAAGCCACTGCTCCAAAACCGCCATAAAAAAGCCAGACTACGGTTTGCAATTGCACAAGGGGACAAAGATCGTACTTTTTGGAGAAATGTCCTCTGGTCTGATGAAACAAAAATGGAACTGTTTGGCCATAATGACCATCATTATGTTTGGAGGAAAAAGGGGAAGGCTTGCAAGCCGAAGAACACCATCCCAACCGTGAAGCACGGGGGTGGCAGTATCATGCTGTGGGGGTGCTTTGCTGCAGGAGGGACTGGTGCACTTCACAAAATAGATGGCATCATGAGGAAGGAAAATTATGTGGATGTATTGAAGCAACATCTCAAGACATCAGTCAGGAAGTTTGGTCGCAAATGGGTCCCAAATGGACAACGACCCCAACTTCCAAAGTTGTGGCAAAATGGCTTAAGGACAACAAAGTCAAGGTATTGGAGTGGCCATCACAAAGCCCTGACCTCAAAAAAAAAAAAGCGTGTGCGAGCAAGGAGGCCTACAAACCTGACTCAGTTACACCAGCTCTGTCAGGAGGAATGGGCCAAAATTCACCCAACTTATTGTGGGAAGCTTGTGGAAGGCTACCCGAAACTTTTGACCCAAGTTAAACAATTTAAAGGCAATGCTACCAAATACTAATTGAGTGTATGTAAACTTCTGACCCACTGGGAATGTGATGAAATAAATAAAAGCTGAAATAAATCATTCTCTCTACTATTATTCTGACATTTCACATTCTTAAAATAAAGTGGTGATCCTAACTGACCTAATACAGGGAATTTAAACTAGGATTAAATGTCAGGAATTGTGAAAAAACTGAGTTTAAATGTATTTGGCTAAGGTGTATGTAAACTTCCGACTTCAACTGTATAGTTATGCATTTCTAGATGGAATCTCTTGAGAGAGTATCGTGTAGTGTTGTTACTATACTAGGTGCCCCTAGGCAATTGTGCTAAGTCAGTTTTGTTATTCTAATGATCTATAAACTTTTCTAACCTCTTCGACTAAGAGTTGGAGGAAGTGAAGTCAGACCATAGATCCTGTGTTTAGGGGCTCCTTGTCAGCATTGGGTGGTATGTCCCATTTTGATCATCGACAATTCGTGAATTTAATGTGAATGAAATTTGACAGCGATTTTTTTATTTGTGAATTTCAAATCATCCAAATTTCCAGATTTAACTGAGGTAGAAAATGGAATTGACCCCAATCTGCACCTAATAACCCCTGTGACGGTGAACCCGGTCTGTCCTCTGCTACATGGAGCTGGTGGGCAGTCTATCTAGTCCTCTGCATGTACCCCTCTCCCAGTCATGGAGAAAATCACTTCATTTCACCACCAGTAAATCAAGCCTGGCTACGTCCTCAGTGGTTGATCTATAACGACGACCACCCATCATTCTCATCCTCCAAAATACAGTTATGTAGTGTGTGTTCAGCTCAATTGGGTGACAGACTTGGTGTGATTTTCATATAAGCCCTTGGGCTTCCAACCACACCTGCAAACCGTTTCTTTAAATGTGTTTTTATCTGTATTGTTGTCTATCACTTGTTTTCTTTGGTGCAAATAAATAAAACTTCGGTTGACTATGTGCTGATGTATGTCATGCTTTTTAGGGCTCTCCCAAAAAACACTCTTACTCAACTCACCCTCACAATGCAATTGAAAACAATTCAGTAATTCAGCTAACCTTTTGGATCCCGCTTCTGCCCCCACCTGCGGTTGTAAACTACCTGGGTTGTTCGCAGTGGGGAGAAGAGGAGAAGGGTCAGGGGAGCAGCCTCAGATCTCTATGTGTTTATGGGGGGAGTTAGTAAGAGAAGGTGTGTGCGTCTATGTCTGTTCGTAATGTCAGTTTCTGTGTTCATGGCATTTTTCATTTCATTTTTGTTTGTTCAGCTCATGCTTTTGCATGTAACATCCTGCCTGTGTAACGTGTATAGGAGTTTGTGTGTGTGCTCTGTAACAGGAATGTCCATCGCCATGTGTTCAGGTGTGTGTTTGTAAGTGTGTCTGTGTGTGTGTGTCTGTGTGTGTAAGTGTGCGTGCATGCCGTGGCTGTATCCAGCTCACTCAGTCAATAGTTCGATATCGTTGGCGAGGAGGGTGTTGAAGTTGTAGGCCGGGTCAGGGAGGTTGGGCAGGACTGGGCTGGGGCCAACTTGGCGGATCGTGGGCTGCGGGGTGGTATCGGCCAGCTCGGGGTCGCTCTCACTAGAAGTGGAGCCCACGCTCATGTTGCACACGGCCTCGGGCAATACGCTGCTGGGCGCCGGGCACACCTCAGGCTCGCTGCTAGTCTCGCTGGCACTGGACACCACCGAGAGCAGCGACATCTTGCGTGTGAGGCGGCTGGGCAGCAGCGAGAGGGCGTAGTCGGCCACGATGCCCGCCACGTCCATGCCACACGCCTGATCGAAGGCAATGAAGCCCACATTGGCGTTGGCCTCGCACACCACGAACGAGCCGTCGTTGAGCTGCAGCAGGTCAATGCCGCACACGTCCATGCCAAGGATGTTGGACACCTGCACCGCCAGCTGCTTGCCCTGCTCACTCAGCGGGCACATCATCCCCACGCCGCCTGCGGGAGACGAGGGCAGAATGGAAAGACAGGTACGTCAGTACCGCACACACGCCAGTAGCTGCTATCTGTGGACTGTTCACTGTGTGCCTTACATTCACATAATTCACATTCTCTGAGGCCTCTACGGCGAGGAATGACAGGACAGAGAAAACAGTGACCAACTCCCAGGGCAACTATTTCTTAATGTATTGTGAAATGTGGAATGATTTGTATTTAGTTTAGAGCAATAGATAGAAATAGGATGGACAAACAAATAAATCATATACTATGTAAGTAAGCCAGAGCAACCGAGAATCTATGCTTGCGTAAGACAAACAACATTTTGTTAAAAAACTATTGGAACAATTGAGGACTGATGACCCCAAAATGTCACAAGACATGAGTGTGTTTGCTAGCGTAAAACTGCAGACGTCATCAAAAGCAAAGTCACGTTCAAGACAACTATATTGTCCTTCTGTGGCCAAATTCAAGTGCACTGCTCCTCTCACTGTCCCCTGTGCTCTGATGTGGTTTCCTAACATAAAAAAATGGAAATAGCATGTTCAGGGTCCGTTCCATATGTTTCTTAGCCAACTAAAGAAATAATCTCATTCACTGAAAATAATATAGTATATAAAAAAAGGCTAATTCATTTTATGGAACTTTATGAAACTGATTTGGCCCTGACCTTGGTTCTCTCTAGCAATAACAAGTCTATAGACAGGGGTGCACATAACTTTTTCAGTGAGTTACTCAGGTGAGTACCAGCAGATGGTGTCTGGTACTCACCCCATATGTAGCGTGGTCTTCATAAGTACAGTCTTCCTCACTGTCGCCACCACTGTCCTCTTCTGTGTCGCCACCACTGTCCTCTGCTTCAGCTTCTTGCATGGTAGATGATGAAGATGCTGTAGATGCACCTCCCTGTCCTTGGTTGAGCCTCCGATTAGCTGTCTCCATCCACAGGTCAACAGCAGGCTTTGGGTCAAATGTCTCTGTGGTCTTCTTTGACAGGTGAATGTGCATCAGGGCTGAGAGACGAGCATGTGACAGACGAGATCTGTACTTGGTTTTTATTATGTTGAGATGTGAGAATCCCCTCTCACAAGCTGCACTGCTTAAAGGCAGTTTAAGAGACAGCTTAACCACCTTGTTGATGTTGGAGTAAGCATCTGGGTTACTTGTATTTACTATTTGGACCAAGTCATACACAGAAGAGGCTCCCAGGCGTTTTCCTGCCTGCTTTAAGCGCATCCATTCTGTCACAGTGGTATCTTTGTCAAGTTGCAAGGTGGCCTCATATTTCTTGAGAATGCTGCAAACGGTTGTGTTTCCAAAACTGTGGAGGTCTTGCATTTCCTGAGGCCATGTTGAAGGATCAAATACTAAGAAATTATCACATGACTTGAGGGATTCATATCTGATTTCAAACTCTTCAATTACCCCCTGAGTAAGTGTGTCTTGTCTCTGTCAGCATCAGCATTGGAAACAGTGTGTGCCCTGTGGCTTTCACCATCAAGCAGAAGTGTGAACTGTCCAATGGCCACCATGAGTTCATCCTTACATTCTCCAATGGTCAGCTTTTCCTTCTGAAACCTAATGGATGTGGTCTTCAAAATGTTGCAAATGTCAAGCATGTTTGACAGAAAGCACTGAAAACGCTCTGTGCACATATGCTGCAAGTCACTGTTATCACTCGTAACCAGTTGCATTTTAATGGCTGGCAATAGTCTTGATATTTTTAACAGTGTTTCATGCCTCCATGCAGACCATCTGATATTATGAAACTTACCCAGTTTCACAAAGGAGATCCCATTTTCTTCACATAGCTTATTCAGTGCAGCAGTTTTTTTTGCTCCACCTTTTTGTAAATAAAACTGCAGCAGCTTGACCACAGAGCGATTAAATATCTCACAGTAAGGAACGTTGCGATCAGCTGATTTCGCGCAATTCTCCAGTGTGTGTGCGGTGCACAGAATGTGCACAAGGGAGTCTCCAACCGCAGCAAGTTGCCGGAATTTTGGCACAACCCCGTTGTAGATACCTACGTTGACAGCAGCCCCGTCTGTGCACACAGCGACCAACTTTGTTGTCCAGTCATCCAAGCCTGTGTCCTGGAAAAGTCTCACAAGTCCGTCTGTTATGGCCTGCGCGGTTCGGTCAGCACCCAATTCAATCAGTCCAATAAAGTCTGAAGTAAACTCTCCGTTGCTGGACACAGACACAATGTAAACGATTTCCTGCTCAGTTTTTGTGATGTCCTCAGATCCATCAAAAAGAAGCCCCCAAAATTCAGCAGACTGCAACTTGGCTCGTAACTCCCTGCTGATGGTGTGAGCGATGCTCTGCATGATCCGTGTGTCCCCTTCACGTGAATGATATGCACCTCCGACATTTACTCCTAGCCGCTTCAGTAAAGGAACATCCTCAGAATAGGAAGACATGGGACGTGCGTGTTTAGCTTCATTGAAGGCGAGGAGAAAAATATTAAACAGAGCTTGCCGCTGTTCTTCATTCAGCTTGTCTCGCCATCTGGCAAGTGGGCGACTGGACATTTCTTCTCGGCTAGCTTGTTTAGCAATGGCTTGCGCCACATTCGTGTGCTCATTGCTCTTTTCATGTTTGTCAAATAAAGGATGGTTGAAATTCTTTGAGCCTTTATAAAATGCACCTGTTTTGTCTGTTAGATGTGGATTTGAGCGGCAAATCTTGCACCACATTTCAGTGCGCTCATCGTTAGCTTCAAGCCACTGCACATCTTGGAGCCACTTTTCCAAAAAAAAGTATTTTCTTCGGCTCTGGCTCCAGTTGCCGTTTCTTTGTAGGTGGCGAAATGCCAAAGAAGCTGCTTAATGTCTGTTGCTTTTTGGACATCCCTGACAGTAGTTGACAAGCAACATGTCATGTGTAAGGTTAGATGAGAAGATCGGCCAAGTACACAAAGGCGCGTAGTAACACAAGTGGCATTACGCATTCCTGATTTTTGTTGTGCTTGCGTACCTGTGTACCAGTTATGTGCACCCCTGTCTATAGACCTAACCACTGGAGACAAACTTTGCAGAGGACCCACCAGTGGGTGTCTGTGCGGTCACTGTGGTGACACTGGCAGCCCTAGGGGACCTGCCTGTCCAGTATCACTCAAGCCTCCTTTATTTTCTGTCTGTAAAACCCTGATGAAGGCTACAAGCTGAAATGTGTTCATTTTTTTATAAATAAGCATAAAAAATATATAACTCCCATTGTCCTCCAAGAGTGGCTGAATATCCTCCTCTCCTCTGCCCAGCATCACTCACCCAGGGAGCAGTTGCTCTGCATGCGTCCATCGGTGGAGCAGCGCAGCATGGAGCCGATGACGCGGCCGCCCACCAGCACCACCCGGACGTCGCGGCCGTGCGACTCCTTCACGTACTCCTGGAAGAGGTAGGGAGCGTCATGGCGAATCAGGTGGCTCAGGTCGGCCAGGTGGTGCTTGTCCCTGGCCAGGAACACAGCCTTTCCTGACAGAGTCAGAGTGGAGGGAAGCCAGAGAGAACAATTTAATTGATATAGCATTACATGAAGAAGACGCTTTTAAAAGAAAAAGAAACATTGATGGTTCGTGGCCTGGACAATGAATGAGAAAAACAGAATGAGAAAGAGAGAGTGAGTAAGAGTTTTCAGTCACAACCCTTACAAAGAAAACATGAAGAAAATCACATGAACAAATCTCGTGTTTTTCCCTTCACATGATTACTTTCACCACTTCCAGCTACATCTGTCTTCCATCAGAGGCAAACCAGCAGTGGGATGCAGGGTGCTATGTTGCTGGAATGAATGTGCCAAAACTTCCCACTGGAAAAAATGCAGCGAAAGCCATTGTCAGGGTGACATAACCAAAGACAGGGGAAATTACAGGAAAGAGGGAGGCGTTTTATTTAATTGCGTTATCATTTATTTGGTATCACTGATTTTGTTGCATCCATTTACAATTTATTTGCTCTCGCCCCAAAAAAAATCTGTGCAATATTTTGTTTTGCTATCAATACTTTTGAGTTTGTTTTGCTTTCAATATCATTATTTTTGTTTGCAATACTAAGAATTTTGTTCTCGACTTCAGAAGTTTCTCAAATGTGAAAGTTTTATAAAAATGTGAAACGTTATTCTCCTCACATGTGAAAAGGTAGTGTTAACATGTGAACTCTAAATTTAAGCTCAACGTGTGAAAACAGCTATTTCACATGTGAAAATGTGATTTCACATGTTTTTTTTTGTCATGGAAAAGTCATAATTCATTCACCTGACTATAGTCCTCCATGTTATACTCTATAGCATTACATTCAGTACTCTTCTGAAGATGATAGTGTTAGCGTGAATGTTGACACCTCTCACCTCAACGGCCATGTAACAAATGAAATTGAGAAATCTCTCGAGACACTCGGGACACTGACTGAGAAGCCATTGTGGGAGAGAGCAGAATGCCTCTCGCACTGGCTTACAAAAATACCAGGGCCCATTTTAATTAGAGTGGACTTTGTCCTCATGCTCAGTGGCACCTCCTCTGACCCCAACACAGTTAGCGTTGACTGAGGGACCAGGAAGGGAGACTCGTGAGAGAAGCATGCGAGTGTGATGGGGTGTGTGTAGAGATATTAGAATAGGTTGCGTTGCTAACAACCAGTGTCAACCAGCCAGCCAAATTAAATGTAGAGTCTACACTCAACAAAGAGGTTACATGTGAAAAAATAAGAAGATTTTTCATCAAAAGAAGGAAATGATTCTGCCCCTGCTGGCATTGCGATCAGTGTTGCCATCTCCTCAGTAAGGAAAGTAGCTATTGGCTGTCCTAAAAGTTGCTACATGACATCATCACTTAATTTGCATAATTGGCCATGTGCATGTAATTGAGATGGACGCTGTAGGAGGGAGGAATAACATCGTGGGAGAGACAAAAAGTGAGTAAAAAGCTGCGCGAGGACTGGGCCGCCTGTGAGTGCTTTGGGACAGGGGTGGGGCCCCCACCCCCACGGCAGCACCCGCTGCTCGTTGAGAAGAGTAAGAACGATACGTGCTTTCACGTCAGAGTCTCCAATAACACCAGAAAAAGTTGCTAGATTTGTCGCTAGTCGCTTTTTTGAAAATGTGTCGCTAGAGGGGTCTGAATACTCACTAAATATAGCGACAAAGTCGCTAAGTTGGCAAAACTGATTGCGATTGGCTAGCTAGCTGGATCTTAGTCATGTGAATGGTCAAGACATGGCTCATTGGCTGATATCCACCAATGGCCCCTTTCCTTAAGGCCCAATGCAGTCGTTTTTATATCAATATAAAATCATTTCTGGGTAACAATTAAGTACCTTACTGTAATAGATTTCCCTTAAAATAGGCAAAAAAAGCTTTTTAGCTAAATAATATTTCTCAAGGAAGAAATTTGCTAGGAATGTCTGGGAGGGGTCTGAGTAGGGAGGGGAAAACTGAAAACAACTCGTTATTGGCAGAGAGGTTTGAAAGTCTTTGTTATTGGTCTATTAACCAATTTACCGCATGGTGATGTCACCATGGAAAGTCAAAACTCCTGCCAATGCAAACCTGCTGATTAGAAGGTCCTGTGTAGATTGCATTTTTAACCAGTTAGTATAGAGAAATCAAATTGCTTTTTCCCCCACACTTTTACAGTGTTAAGTTTCATCAGCTGTTGTACAATATGATATAAAACACAGGAAAAACTGAATTGTGACTGGACTTGGCATTTAACACTAGAATCACCTGGCATTTCAGCCTATACAGTGAGGGAAAAAAGTATTTGATCCCCTGCTGATTTTGTACATTTGCCCACTGACAAAGAAATGATCAGTTTATAATTTGAATGGTAGGTTTATTTGAACAGTGAGAGACAGAATAACAACAAAAAAATCCAGAAAAACGCATGTCAGAAATGTTATAAATTGATTTGCATTTTAATGAGGGAAATAAGTATTTGACCCCCTCTCAATCAGAAAGATTTCTGGCTCCCAGGTGTCTTTTATACAGGTAATGAGCTGAGATTAGGAGCACACTCTTAAAGGGAGTGCTCCTAATCTCAGCTTGTTACCTGTATAAAAGACACCTGTCCACAGAAGCAATCAATCAATCAGATTCCAAACTCTCCACCATGACCAAGACCAAAGAGCTCTCCAAGGATGCCAGGGACAAGATTGTAGACCTACACAAGGCTGGAATGGGCTACAAGACCATCGCTAAGCAGCTCAGTGAGAAGGTGACCACAGTTGGTGCGATTATTCGCAAATGGAAGAAACACAAAATAACTGTCAATCTCCCTCGGCCTGGGGCTCCATGCAAGATCTCACCTCATGGAGTTGCAATGATCATGAGAAGGGTGAGGAATCAGCCCAGAACTACACGAGAGGATCTTGTCAATGATCTCAAGGCAGCTGTGACCATAGTCACCAAGAAAACAATTGGTAACACACTACGCCGTGAAGGACTGAAATCCTGCAGCACCCGCAAAGTCCCACACGGCCAAGGCAACAAAGGAGTGGCTCAAGAAGAAGCACATTAAGGTCCTGGAGTGGCCTAGCCAGTCTCCAGACCTTAATCCCATAGAAAATCTGTGGAGGGAGCTGAAGGTTCGAGTTGACAAACGTCAGCCTCAAAACCTTAATGACTTGGAGACAATCTGCAAAGAGGAGTGGGACAAAGTCCCTCCTGAGATGTGTGCAAACCTGGTGGCCAACTACAAGAAACGTCTGACCTCTGTGATTGCCAACAAGGGTTTTGCCACCAAGTACTGAGTCATGTTTTGCAGAGGGGTCAAATACTTATTTCCCTCATTAAAATGCAAATCAATTTATAACATTTTTTATATGCGTTTTTCTGGATTTCGTTGTTGTTATTCTGTCTCTCACTATTCAAATAAACCTACCATTAAAATTATAGACTGATCATGTCTTTGTCAGTGGGCAAACATACAAAATCAGCAGGGGATCAAATACTTTTTTTCCCTCACTGTAAGTACTGAAAATATGTCATCAATGTTCTGTTTTACACTTTAGCACTTATTTTGTCATATTGGGATGGTAATGAAATAATTGGCCTGTCCAGACAGATCTATTCTAACAAAAGGACAGGTAGCCTAATTGCCCCTCCAGGATAGTTTGGTTGATTTGGGGAAAGTGAGGGGTTTCTTTGGGGGATGGTGCTCCCTTTCAAATGTGCTCAGAGGCACCCTTTTTCTAGTGTGCAGCCTGACTACACTACATGACCAAAAGTATGTGGACACCTGCTCGTCAAACATTTCATTCATAAATCATGGGCATTAATATGGAGTTGGTTCCCTCTTTGCTGCTATAACAGCCTCCACTCTTCTGGGAAGGCTTTCCACTAGATGTTGGAACATTGCTGCGGGGACTTGCTTCCATTCAGCCACAAGAGCATTAGTGAGGTCGGGCACTGATGTTGGGCGATGTGGAGAGAGCTGAAGGTTCGAGTTGCCAAACGTCAGCCTCGAAACCTTAATGACTTGGAGAAGATCTGCAAAGAGGAGTGGGACAAAATCCCTCCTGAGATGTGTGCAAACCTGGTGGCCAACTACAAGAAATGTCTGACCTCTGTGATTGCCAACAAGGGTTTTGCCACCAAGTACTAAGTCATGTTTTGCAGAGGGGTCAAATACTTATTTCCCTCATTAAAATGCAAATCAATTTATAACATTTTTGACATGCGTTTTCCTGAATTTTTTGTTTGTTATTCTGTCTCTCACTGTTCAAATAAACCTACCATTACAATTATAGACTGATCATTTCTTTGTCAGTGGGCAAACGTACAAAATCAGGGGATCAAATACTTTTTTCCCTCACTGTAAGTACCCACTAGAGAACGTTGCCGGGCGTCTCCTTTAGCATATGCATCAGATTGCATATCAACCTGCAAGGTGCAGCAAACATAAGCAACATTGCTTGATAAATAATGCATAAACGATTATAAAGGATTAATTGCATAAAGAAATACAACAGTTATTTGTTTACATAGAGTCAAGGATATGTTTTGTAAAATTCTACAAAGTCCTTCAAAAAAAACTTTGGCCGATAGCCTATTCTCATTTCCCTCACAATAAAAACATTACAGTGTAATCCATTTGATCAACTTTGTAGATTTGATTAGTAATAGAGTTTTGACAAAGTAGAAAGGAAAAATATAATAATAATATAACCAGGCAGGTGCACCGGTGAAATTATTTGCTGTATTCCTAAACAAAAGCACCAGTGCATGAACAATTGTAAAGGATGAATTGCATAGATAAATAGCATATTTAAATTGTACGTTTATTATGTTACTACTTTTTGCTTAGCAGCCAGAGCAATGCTGCCACGCGATTGGTCATTTGCTGAATGCATGGACAGCACGAATATTCTTGGAAAAAGTGAAATCTGCACCTCTTGAATTATGAGTTATTTGACAAAGGTAAGTGTAATAGAAACGGCAAAATATGCTCTTTCTGATACTATATAGAAATCACAACATTTCACCTGCATATGACTCTGAAGGAGGACGATCCTTTCCGTACATCTGTAAATTACAAGTAAGGCCCATCTCTTCATGTTCAATTTGACAATTGATAGGCCTAATATTGTCACTCATCAGATTATTGTCCATCTTCTCTATAGGCTAACTCTTATTATGTGTGAAACTAGTTTCTGTATAGTTTAGGTGTAGTTTCGATGGGCCGGCTGTGAAGGCTGACTGACATCGTTTGTTTCCCGCTCATCAAGTTGGATAGAGTCAAGGATATGTTTTGCATTATTCTAAAGGCCTACTGCAACACATAGCATGTTTTAATTTCCCTTACAATAAATGTAATTATTAATAAAGTTACAGTAAGTAAAACAGTCCCATAACAGCTTCTTTATACAAAGTAAAACGTAAAAGAGAATGGTGGAGTGGCGCAGTGGTCTAAGGCACTGCATCGCAGTGCTAACTGTGCCACTAGAGATCCCGGTTCGTATCCAGGCTCTGTCGCAGCCGGCCGCGACCTGGAGACTCATGGGCGGCGCACAATTGGCCCAGCGTCGTCCAGGGGTACTTTTTTTGTAATTACAAAATCAAATGTCAGTGGCCATTCCAGTGTTTACAATGCCCTTTCTTGATAGACAGTAACCCAAAGTCTATTGTTATCTACATTTTAGCAGACGCTTGTATCCAGAGCAACTTGAGTTCATACATTATTTTTTCATACTGGCTCCCCGTGGGAATCGAACCCACAACCCTGACGTTGCAAACGCCATGCTCTATCAACTGAGCTACATCCCTGCCGGCCATTCCCTCCCCTACCCTGGACAACTTGTGCGCCACCCCATGGGTCTCCCGGTCACGGCCGGCTACGACAGAGCCTGGATTCGAACCAGGATCTCTAGTGGCACAGCTAGAGCTGCGATGCAGTGCCTTAGACCACTGCACCACTCGGGAGACTTATCTATACGGACAATGGGAGACCAACTGGGAGACCAAGTAAAGTGTCTATGACTGAAAAGTTGATGGGCCAGGAGTCCTCTGTGAAATAGCCAGGGTTCAATCTCTTTACTAACTTAAACATAAGTTATAGGGTTCAAAAACGTATCTGGCAATCCTACTTTAAATGAGAAGTAAATTTGGAAAAATCAGCGAGGGTGATACAAAAGGTTTAAATAAGCCGTCAAAGATGTGTACTCTGTGCTTTCCTTTTCACGACGACATAACCACTTAGCACCCCTTTGTTAAATTCCTTATATGGGTGGACCGAGGTGCTGTTGGCCACGCACACAATGGTGTAAGAGGATTCGAGAAACAGTTTTGCATAAACCGAGAGGCCTGGGCCGGTTCTGTTATTAAAGAGAGGGGTGAGAGAGGTGAGGGGAGGGATGGTCGCGGTCAGACTGACCTCTGTGACCACGTGCGTTCTTCACCACCACGGGGTAGCCCAGCGGTTCCGCCTCGTCGATCATCTTGCGGAAGTTCTCGTGTCCTCCTACGAAACACACAAGACACACACACACGTTACAATTTGTCCAATGATCAAACTCTCTCCATTACCCTCTGTGTACCTCAGTCATTTGACTGTGCGAAATGGGGTTTGTTGCTATAGGAACCATGTTGTGACTTGTGAAGCAATGAATGATTGCCATTGGATGAGGATTGCTGTGGGTATGTAATTCTGTGTTGAAGGGATATTTCGGGATTTGGGGTAATTTCCTACCTACCCAGAGTCAGATGAACTCACAAATACCATTTGTATGTCTCTGCGTGCAGTTCGAAGGAAGTTGAAGGCAGCATATCATTAGCTTACCGCAATTGCTGGAAGTCTATGGGTATCTACTATCCAGCTCCTGGGAAATAGACTTAACTACTAATTTCTTACAAAGCTATACATAGTGATCTATATTTTATAAATTAGTACATTTTACTGATAATCGTAAGAAATTAGATTCTATCAACGTCCTCATTTACGGACTACTTTGGGTTCTGCCTGCGCTCTCTTCCCACGAGACTTGTTGTGGTTTTGTAAACAAAGCTCCTGGGAGACAGCCAGCTGTTGCGTACTCTAGTAGCTAAAGTAGCTAGCTCGCTTGCTTATTGGCAAATATCACAATCACATTTGATAAATCATGTCGGACTTTGAGGTAGTAGAATACATTTGGTTATATTCAGAGCCGTGTTTATTCGAGCCAGAATTGACTGTGGAGGAACGTGTGCAGTTGGATGCTGAGGGAGCACGGAGGGAGGGTGAATCAGCGGAGCCGGTAGACGAGCTAGCAGGAGCGGTGGCGAGACCCTGGTCTGAGGGGGACGGCGGGCCAAATCAACCCCTGGCAACCAACGAAGAGTGTTTGTGCTGCGCAGAGTGGGACTTGTTACTGCCATCAGGGGCTTGATACTCTACATGACCAAAAGTATGTGGAAACTCCTTCAAATTAGTGGATTCGGCTATTCCAGCCACACCCGTTGCTGACAGGTGTATGAAATCGAGCACACCGCCATGCAATCTCCATAGACAAACATTGGCAGTAGAATGGCCGTCCTTAAGAGCTCAGTGACTTTCAACGTGGCACCGTCATAGGATGCCACCTTTCCAACAAGTCAGTTCGTCAAATTTCTGCCCTGCTAGAGCTGCCCCGGTCAACTGTAAGTGCTGTTATTGTGAAGTGGAAACGTCTAGGAGCAACAACGGCTCAGCCGCGAAGTGGTAGGCCACACAAGCTCACAGAACGGGACCGCCGAGTGCTGAAGCGTGTAGAAATCATCTGTCCCTCGGTTGCAACACTCACTACCGAGTTCCAAACTGCCTCTGGAAGCAACGTCAGCACAAGAACTGTTCATCGGGATCTTCATGAAATGGATTTCCATGGCCGAACAGCCGCACACATGCCTAAGATCATCATGCGCAATGCCAAACGTTGGCTGGAGTGGTGTAAAGCTTGCCACCATGGACTCTGGAGCAGTGGAAACGCGTTCTCTGGAATGATCAATTACACTTCACCATCTGGGCTTGGCGGATGCCAGGAGGATGCTTCCTGCCCCAATGCATAGTGCCAACTGTAAAGTTTGGTGGAGGAGGAATAATGGTATGGTGCTGTTTTCCATGGTTCGGGCTAGGCCCCTTAGTTCCCCTGAAGGGGAAATCTTAACGCTACAGCATATAATGACGTTCTAGATGATTCTATGCTTCCAACTTTGTGGCAACAGTTTGGGGAAGGCCCTTTCCTATTTCAGCATGCCCCTGTGCACAAAGCGAGGTCCATACAGAAATGGTTTGTTGAAATCGGTGTAGAAGAACTTGACTGGCCTGCACAGAGCCCTGACCTCAACCCCATTGAAGACCTTTGGGATGAATTGGAATGCCGACTGCGATCCAGGACTAATCGCCCAACATCAGTGCCCGACCTCACTAATGCGCTTGTGGCTGAATGGAAGAAAGTCCCCGCAGCAATGTTCCAACATCTAGTGGAAAGCCTTTCCCGAAAAGTGGAGGCTGTTATAGCAGCAAAGGGGGGACGAACTCCATATTAATGCCCATGATTTTGGAATGAGATGTTCGATGTGCAGGTGTCCACATACTTTTGGTCATGTAGTGTATCTACAGTGAAGAAAGCAGCGCACCCAGTGACTGTGTAACACACCGCAATGACTTTTCTGCACTCATCAATCCTGGAGTTATAGAGACATTCTTCCATGTCCCAAAAATAAAGTGGAAAAAGTAGCCCATATCTGCTGGACCGAATGGACAGCTGTCTATCGAGTAAGTGACATTACTCTTGCTTGTCCCAGCACACAGTAACAAAATATAAAATAAGATAATCTATTGATATCTTTTGTTGTTTTATCATTTCAAATCAAATTGTTTCCTGTTATTAGATTATTTGGATCTAGCTCCTCACGAATAACAACTTATTTGTTCTTAGTCAATACAGGCTGGTTGCATATCAACTGATGTTGGAGTGGGCACTGAAGGGCTATAGACTGGGACAAGGGAACAGAAGAGTCATGCCTTCATGTGTTGTTTCTGCCATTCGCCTCAAATATCCCTCCCCCACAGGAGTCTACATGGGATTCAAGGAGACAGAAGATGTAATGGGCCTGTTATAATTACACTCCGATGACTCAGCTTCACAGCCAGACATTGCCTAACTAATTTAGTCAAATCACTTGAATAAATGCTGTTTGAACCAGTCCCATCGATTTTGTTAATATCTACTATAAGTGATTCATTACAGTATGCCACATGAGATAGTGTTGTGTATGAAATATGGCAGTCAGATCACTGTATCAGTAACATTTGAATACTAAAGGTAAATTGGTAAAAGCCAATAAAACATAGTGTAGACCTATGTAATGACATGACAATCAATGAATCAGCAATTATTTATTTTATACAGCACAATACAGATCACTGCACATAATGTACAATACGGGAAAGGGGGATACCTAGTCAATTGTACAACTGAATGAATCTTCCGCATTTAACCCAACCCCTCTGAATCAGAGAGGTGCAGGGAGCTGCCTTAATCGACATCCACGTCATCGGCGCCCGGGGAACAGTGGGTTAACTGCCTTGCTCAGGGGCAGAATGACAGATTTTTTACATGTCAGCTCGGGAATTCAACGCTCCTACCCGCCAGGCTACCTGCCGCCCCAATACTCAGTATAGACAAGTCATTCACACAATTCACAGCAATAAAATGTAAAATATACAATAAAATAGGCGGTACAAAGCAGGTATAGCGGTGCTGTTATGTACAGTGGTAGCCTACAGTGAATTGATTTTTTTTTAATGCTAAAGATGCAGAGAGATAATGACCAGAGGCTAACAAATTATGTTACAATAGAGTGTGTTTGTATTAGGTAGTAGTGCAAGGAGGCCCAAGTCCATGGATACTGGGGGAGTTGGGGGTGTCAGAAAAGCCCCAAGTGTCCTTGAATCTTGATGTGTGTGCTGCAATTGTCTATCAGTGTAACAGTGCTTTGTTACTTGTCGTGTTTGTTTTTGTGTGGACCCCAGGAAGAATAGCTGCTGCTTCGGCAAAAGCTAATGGGGATCCGAATAAACCAATAAACCAGCAATGACCTCCTCCTTGCTGGGTTTTGGGATGGGGTTATGTTGTCTCTTCCACAGGATTTGGGCTCCAACTATTTGTCCATGCGTCTCTGCAGGATGTATACTCCATCAGCTCATCCCTGAATCTTTGAGTGGTGGGCTGATATATTGGCTGTGCAATCCACTGTTTTGATTGTTTTGGGTAGACAACGTTGGATCTTGGAGTACCTGAAATGAGGAAAGAGAAGACGATAAACCAGTGAATACAATCTAAACAGAAGGACGTTGTCGTACATATAGAAAGAAATGATGGGACTTCTTGGTTTGCTACATTGCAATCAGGCTGGATGCAGTTGATCAGATTAGTGTAGTGATTAGCGTAGTGGATATACACTATATCTACACAAAGTTATGTGTACACCCCTTCAAATGAGTGGATTCAACCATTTCAGCCACACCCGTTGCTGACAGGTGTATAAAATCGAGCACACAGCCATGCAATCTCCATAAACAAACATTGGCAGTAGAATGGCCTTACTGAAGAGCTCAGTGACTTTCAAGGTGGCACCGCCATAGAATGCCACCTTTCCAACAAGTCAGTTCGTCAAATTTCTGCCCTGCTAGAGCTGCCCCGGTCAACTGTAAGTGCTGTTATTGTGAAGTGGAAATGTCTAGGAGCAACAATGGCTCAGCCGCGAAGTGGTAGGCCACACAAGCTCACAGAACGGGACGCCGAATGCTGAAGCACGTAGTGCGTAAAAATCATCTGTCCTCGGTTGCAACACTCACTACTGAGTTCCAAACTGCCTCTGGAAGCAACGTCAGCACAATAACTGTTCGTCGGGATCTTCATGAAATTTGTTTCCATGGCCGAGCAGCCGCACACAAGCCTAAGATCACCATGCTCAATGCCAAGCGTTGGCTGGAGTGGTGTAAAGCTCACCGCCATTGGACTCTGGAGCAGCGGAAACGAGTTCTCTGTAGTGATGAATCACGCTTCACCAACTGGCAGTCCGACGGACGAATCTGGGTTTGGCGGATGCCAGGAGAACGCTACTTGCCCGAATGCATAGTGCCACCTGTGAAGTTTGGTGGAGGAGGAATAATGGTTCGGGCTAGGCCCCTTATTTCCAGTGAAGGGAAATCTTAACGCTACAGCATACAAAGACATTCTAGACAATTCTGTGCTTCCAACTTTGTGGCAACAGTTTGGGGAAGACCCTTTCCTGTTTCAGCATGAAAATGCCCTTGTGCACAAAGTGAGGTCCATACAGAAATGGTTTGTCGAGATCAGTGAAGAAGAACTTGACTGGCCTGCACAGAGCCCTGACCTCAACCCAATCGAATTGGAAGCAAGTCCCCGCAGCAATGTTCCAACATCTAGTGGAAAGCCTTCCCAGAAGAGTGGAGGCTGTTATAGCAGCAAAGAGGGAACC